AGGAATGCTCCTTAACGATGGACCGATACAGCCCAGGGCAATCGTGCTGCTGAGGAAAGTACCTCACCTTCCAGCCAAGAGGCAGACTGGACACATTTTCTCAATAGCTTCTATCATTAAGAGGGTAAATACAGTTTTATAATTTGAATTACAATTCTGTAAGCAACGCTGCCGTCAGCTGCCACTGTTAATACCCACTTTGAAATTACAGTGGAGCAATTCATACCTCTCAGACCTAAAATTGTCTGCAGATGCAAACTCAAGCACTGTACTTATCAGTCTGAAGACTTACTTGGCTTCAGCAGAGTCACGAATTGCTTGTAGTTGCTAGGTAAGATCCTCAGTTCCTTACACAAGCTGATATATTTATAGTTTTCCTCCTAGAAAAAATGTTTTGATTTTGTTTTTCTTTTAAATGAATGCAAGTGTTCACCATGATTTTAATTTCCCATTGATACCTGTACTGATTCCTTTAGTTCTCTACTCCACCAGAATAGCAACCAGAGTTTCTATCTTCTCATACACTGTTTGGAAGACAAGGAGCAAAACTGAGAAAAAAAAATCCCTTTGTTAACAGGGCGTGCACTAAACTACATCAGTGATACTTTGTTAAAGGGGGGGAGTCTAAGCTATTGTTCTTGTCTTATTGTAAATTCTGTGAAGCCTAAACCAACCCTGTGCTAGATGCTGCAAGTTGAGTCTCCAGCAGGTCCGGTGAAGGCAGCTGATTAGTTAATGTTTGATGTCTTGCTTAGACATTGGCTGATGGTGTTGGGGGCTCACATCTCCCAGGTACGTGCCGCTGCCTGCACTCTTTGTGTAGCTGTGCAAGGGCTGCGTCAGCCGTGGTGGCCTCGCCGGGCTAGGTGTAAAAAAGGGTGAAAAAAAGCCTTACCTGAGCAAGAAATACATCATAGCAACTTCAAAACAGGACGTCTTCTTTCCACACGCTGCCGGGACTTGCAGACTGTGCTGGTAGGGTGCCCATTTTAGTTCTCTTTCTTGCTTCTACTAGTGACACAATAAGACTTTATAAAACTCAGAAATTCTCCAGATGTACCAGGTGTTGAAGAGGTAAGTGCCTTTTCTGTCTGATCCAGTATCTAATTACACTAGAGAACAGCTTGGCAAGTAAATGTTGCCTCTTTTCCCAAAGGAGTGCCATAGGAGAGGTAACTTTTCTCCCTCTCAAACCCCTGTTGTCTTTTGAATTTGGGAACTGTGAAGAGAACTCAGTGCTGACCAGCCAAAATAGATACGATTCTGAAAACAGTTTCTTCCTTATTTTCAGCTGTTCCATATTGATTTTGGTCATTTCTTGGGGAACTTCAAGACCAAATTTGGTATTAATAGAGAACGAGTTCCTTTCATCTTAACGTATGATTTTGTGCACGTCATCCAGCAAGGAAAAACTAACAACAATGAGAAGTTTGAAAGGTAAGTGCTCACAGTCAAACTTCACTTAAGCTTTTTAAGCTCTGAATTTTCAGAATTTATTTCCACCAATGATACATAGCCGTAACTGTCTATACAGACAAAAGTAACTAAATGATTATCTACCTGTTAGAGAGGGTGGAAGAGCTTGGTAGTCATCAAGGCAGACAGCAGGATTCACAATAATACGTAGACTTGCTTTACAAAATGTTGTTGTATCTTGCAGTCTTCATTCCTTTGCCTCATCTTCCTTTCTGAACAGATTCAGGGGTTATTGTGAGAAAGCCTACATGATTCTGAGGCGCCACGGTCTTCTCTTCCTGCACTTGTTTGCGCTGATGAAAGCTGCTGGCCTGCCAGAACTCAGCTGCTCTAAAGACATTCAGTATCTAAAGGTAAGAGAAGCAGAGCCCAGGTATGACTGAAACCAAATTGCTGGTCTTTTAGCTCCGTGAGGAGGAGTTCAGTATGGACTGGCATATTCTTAGAAGCAAATAAACTCCAGAAATCATGAGTAGACATCCAGACATCATGTGTAAGATACCGGAAAGGCCAGATACTGGCACTGCAGAAATAAATTCAGAGTCTTCAGCACAGAGGCAGTAGAACCAGCTTGCAGGGAAGGAGAAGACCTCTTTGGTTGTGTACCATCTCCTGTTCCAAGCTTGCCTCTCAAACTATAACCCCTTAGCTTGGCCAACTGAAAGCCGGTAGCTTTGCACAAGAGCACTAAGAACGTACTGTTTCCCTACGCTGAACACAAGAGTAGGGTGCATACAATGATCAGAATGAAAAAAACTCATGCACCTGCCTCTTGCCTGCAGGACTCCCTGGCTCTTGGGAAAACAGACGAGGAGGCACTGAAGCACTTCAGACTAAAGTTTAACGAAGCCCTACGAGAGAGCTGGAAAACCAAAGTGAACTGGCTGGCACACAACGTATCCAAAGACAACAGACAGTAGAGCAGCGTCGGCCCGCACGCTTGCTCCCAGAGAATGTAATACCTGCACTGAGTCCAGCAACTGCAGACAGGTTTTTAAGGACTGATGAATGTTGCCGCGTTGAAGATCCCCCACCTGCGTTCCCAGAGATCAGACCGTTCTGCATGACTGAAAAATCGTTGGACTGTTTTATCAGCTGCATAATTGTGTCTCCTGTAAGATCTTTAGGGGACAAGGGAGAGACGCGAGGCAATAAAATTACTGCAAACAGTGAAAGGTAGGTAGATGTACTGTACCCTCAAGAACTTAAACTTCAAATACATCTTCTGGTGGAAGAGTTCAGGCAGTTTTAACATCCTTCCAGTGTGGTAATGTGTATATTTCTATTTTCTTGAAAATTTAGCTGAACACTGAGAACCTGCTATCCCTGTAGCTCTTATGCTGTAGTCCATCTTTTAGGTGTTCACCATTAGAGCTCAGAGGCATTAACTTCACCATGTGATTGTTCCTTGTACCCTGTTTCAGTGTACACCAAGGTAGGTCAGCTTAAATCACCGCTGAGGCTGACTTGGACCATTTGTTTTACTCTGCATTGCGTCAGGGTAAAAATATCCATGCTGTCATACTACTTCTCTCTGCTACAGAGGTCAAAGTGTTCTGAAACTGAACTGGAATCCATTTATTGCTGTCAAAAAAAAAAATAGATGCCACAAGAACAGACGTGGCCTGGTGGATGGGTTAGGTATTTTTGTTTGCTTTCCTGAGTCAGCTGATAGTTGAGCCTCAAGCATTTGCTGGGTTTCTGTGCTTATGCCAGTTTTAAGCCTGAAAACAGCAAGATTGCTTTTTCAGGGTTGGCATGCAATGTTGGTTGCCACCTGTACCTCCTGCTGGGGTACTTTAGAGCTAGTTTGCCACCTGGCTTCCCTGCAACACCTGTACGAAGGGCACCAGCCTGCACCTACGTAGTCACTGGGGCCCAACCCTGTAATCCCAGTGTCAGCTGGGACAGCTGGTACCGTTCTGTGCCGCTGAGGACAGAGTTGGCCCCGAGTGGGCTCCAAACTGAAACACTTGCTCTAAGTTGCATCTTGGCTCTCATCTTACAAATTGATTCCCTGTTCCCTTCCCTACTCTTCCTCCTCTCAACTACGGTACGTGACTCCTCGTCTGTTACTGGAGCTGTCTGTAGGGGGCTCAGCCAGAGACCACCTCTGTCAGGACAAACTGTCGACCCCCGCCTCCTCCTGTCTCCTTCCTGAGCAGAACCTGTCCCGTCTCCCACAAGGTGCTGTAACGAATCGTGTGTCATATTTCTGTCCCCAGCTCATGTCCTCACCCGGTGAGCAGCTCCGAGCGCTGGTGCTGCACAGGGACAGGTGACTGGGAGCTGCTGCCGCCACCCCATGCCCCACACGAGCAGTGAGGTGCATCAGGCATGCTGGAGCCTGCAGGTCACGCTGGAGGATAGGTGGAGTAGGGGCTGGAGGATAGGTGGAGTAGGGTGGTTAGTACCTGCTGCCCTGGGGTCCTTCCTTCCATTTCCCTGGGTTCTCCACAATGTCGGGTTCCTATGGAGGTGCTATTATCATTCCTGCCTTTTAAGGAAAAAGCGTAGTCTAGTTTTCAAGACACCCATGAAGCTGAATCCTGTATTTAACAAGGCTGAGCAAGTTTCTTTTACTCACAGACCCGTTTTTCAAACTCTTTTATGTAGGTAAAAAAACCTACAGGCATTTCAGATCCTGTTTCTCAAGAGATGTTCGTGTTGTCAGATGATGGACTGCTCTCATGTACATGTAGGTTTCATGTCTGGTTTAAAATTCCCACAAAACCAGCATGTTTAAGACAGAGACCGCATTGGCCTGTTTCTTCTTAAGAGATCTTCCCTGTGATGGGATAAATGTGATTTGACAGTATTTTTGCATCCAGTACATAGGTACAACTCATTCCTGACTTTCAGCTCTTTTTAATACTTTACCATCAGGTACCCCTGTACTTTTAAAATTAAAAGACTGCTGCCCTGTAGTGGCTGCTTATATCCACTCTTTTTTTTTTTTTTTTAAAGAGGACAGGTTCAAATATATTTGTTCTTAATCAGCTGTATAGCTAAGTTAAAACTGCCTTAAAAAAATTAACTTCTACCCTAAGTAGTAGGTAATACTAGGTTTGGTCCGTGAATGGAATATGAGTCACCTTTAATAAACCCTTCCCTCCTCACCTGTACGTACAAACAGATACTAGCAGATTAGGATTTAGGATCATGCTAGTGCTAATTTAAATTGTTTCTTTTCATGATTGATAGTATAAACCAGGTTGCATTTCATAAAAGCACCTGTTACCAAAAGCAGTGATAGAGAGAACACGTTTAACTCTGTAAAACCCTCGGAGCTCCTCTTTTTCTCTACCTTTCAACCTGGTAAGTGGCCAGAACATTTCAAGACAGAATGGCACGTACCCTTCCAAGTGATCCAAATGACTTAACACATTCCTCTGTAACAGCTCTCCAGCTTATTGTTTAATTACAAGCAGTGTGTTTGCAGCAGGTGATTGGTTTTGCTGTGCTTCCTCTGCATTGCAGACCCTACGTAGTTAGCCAGAACGGAAAGCTGGCTCTGCCTCTTCCTGCAGCTGTGCTGTTGGCCCCAACACTAGGAAAACAAGCGGATAAATGTGTCCGAACTGACCTGCAGGAAACAAAACACCATCTCGGCTGGAGCGAGCACTAGAGAACTGCTGCTGCTTCTAGCGATCTCCTGCAGCCAGAGTATTACGCACGGTTTTCTTGAATTGAACACTAGCGTGGCCTCAGGATTCAAGTAAAATTGTAAAACACTGAAGCCATATTTGCAATTAGAAATGCAGTATTATGAAACTGGTCAACAAATTACGAGTAAACGATCAGATGGAGGGTTTGAGGTGTTTTTTTTTTTTAGCCATTTTAAGTACTGTTGTTTTCCTTTTCTGTGCCAGATTACACAGCCTTAAGCTTCACAGGCTCTGAGGGTGCTGGGTGTCATCACTTAAATTAGGATAGAAAGATGCTCGAATCCCTTACAGCCAGTTTTAAAAAAATGTTACCATAAGGCCTTGGACAAATGCAGTTTCCATGGGGTCGCAGATTACCAGGTGTCAGCTGCTCTACCCCAGCTGGCAGCGAGTCTGTGCTTTCCCAGCCAGACGCTGCCGTACATACACCAGCTGAGCAAGGTGGCTTTGCTTTATATTTCTCCGAGAAAAAACAGCCACACGATGCTACCGCCCAGTTACTAAGCAGGATGGACACTCACTGAACGGCTGGTAAGCACTTTGGTTTGTGCTTCAGACTTCTGTGTCACCTACGCTTTAGGATGATATTTTAAAAAAAAAGGTTTCACCACTGTCATCTAGACTGTTTGATGCCACCTTTGAGGTCTGGTGTTTTGGTTGTGTTGGTTTTTTTAAAGAGCCAGGTTTGTAGAGAACCAAGTATTCTGCACCCCAGCTCTATTGAATATATAGAAAATTTGTCACAATCATGGAGTAAAATAAGGCTGGCAGAGATCTTCGTGCTCCCTCCTGCCTGCATAGCCAGACTGTTCGTTTGCAGAGGTCACGGTGGTCACACGTTTGCTCCATTTCAGAGAATAAATACTGCTATTTCCTTTCTTACTCATTTACAGAGCAAAAAAATACCAGGCCACATGCAAGCCGAGATGCACTGAAACCACAGCTCACTCAGTGGTTTGTACATTCTTACGGAAGGGAAGACCCATGCAATTCTGTAAACGTAAAAGCAATTCTCTTACAGGGCCACAAGCCAATAATCCAGGCTCGTGCCTGTCACCCTGCAGCAAGGCTGCCTTACCCCATCGTCTCCTGAGTCACTCTTAGGGTCTCGCTTTGCAGACCCGCGCAGTACAGCCCTTCAGCCGCCGTTTTGGGAGTGTTTCCCTCAGGCCCTAATACAGATTTACGGAAGTACAAGGCAGCAGTGGCTCGTGTCCTCTGTCCTTGAGTTTTGTAAGTGCAATAAAACAAAGTTGTATCGGCCTAAACTGCAAGAACTGAGCAATGCCAAAGTTGCTTCTCAATCCAGCACAGTTTTACAGAGGTTACTTAGTCTAGAAACTTGACTTACCTACAGGAATGAAAATATCCACGAGTCACCAAGTGGCCCCTCTCCCTTGTTGTACCACTGGGGTAACAGCTTGAGCGATGGCTCTGTTGGCTCGGCAACGAGCCTTTGACTCCAAATTTACAAAGCAGCAGCTCACCTGAGTTTTCAGCACGTTGAATTGTACTGAAGACTGAAACTTAAATAATTTTCAAAAATATTACAGTTCACTATAAGTAAGTATCTTCTGATTTTATAAATATACTTGAGATGATACCCTTATTTATTTAGAGATATTTCTGTGATTATTTTTTTTAACTCTGTACAAATTGATTGTGCTTATTCTGTTGCCTTTGAAAAAAAAAAAGTATTTTTTTAAGCCAAACCGTGGTTCTGTAAGAAGAGAATGTTTACATGTCTAACTTTTCAGTTGCTTTAGGTACATGTTTTGTAATTAAAAGAATTAAAAACCATAATTGATAAATTGTCCATGGATGCTGCCAAAGTCTTTCTGTGCTTGTGACCAACAAAACCAAAACTTTTTCTGTCACTGGCAGAGGCAAATTAACACACAGTTAATACAACCTGCTTAAACTTTGTTCTGTTCAGCAAGAAATAAATGCAAACAACCTTTAGAACCATAAATTTATTGTAGCTTATAAGACTTTCCAAACTGACCTTTTACCAATATACACATCTGAAAAGTTATATCCACAGTGGCTACAAACTGCATCAGGACGTTTACAACCTTTCCGTATCACCATTAAGCCATGATCAGTTTTGGTCTAAAATACAGCAGCTACAGCAACAGTATATGGAAGGATAAGTCTTCTACACATTAACACAGGACAACTGTCAGACATAAGTTAAAAGTTTCCCAGTTTACTTAAAACTAGCAGTTAATTACCACGTAAGTAGTCAAAACCATTTCCCCATTTTTTTAGAAATCTAAAATTTCACATAAAAAAAAACCAACCCCAAAATCGGTAAGCTAGTTGTGTGGGTTCTCTTCCCTGCCTCCAGGTCCCCCTACTCGTGTAAAAGGCACTCCGCAGTCACGCCTACCCCAGGCAGAAACCCACCGTCAGATCCCTCGACACGTCGCTAGGTGAGAATAGGTCTGGCTCTGAAAACTGAAGCTACAGAAACATTTGGAACAATCCTCATCTTTTGTCTGGTTACAACCCTTTGTGCCCCCACCCTTTGGCTCGCTCTCGCTCCTCCAGCACGACGGCTCCCTGCCGCGTCCCGCGGGCTCTGCGCACCCCGAGCAAGGGCAGACTACGTGCAAGATCAACAACCGAACTTTGCTTACCGTGCGGAGGAGTGAATGGAGTCCTAGTCTCCTGTCACAAGCAAAACAAGGTACTCTTTAAAAATTTTATCCATCTCCAAATGTAAAACTCAAGTAAGCAGACAGTCATTATTCAAGGCTCTGCATAAGACCAAATAAAGTTAAATAAACAAGACCTGCCCTACAAAAAAAAAAAAAAACAAAACAAACTAGCACTCTCCACCACAGGGTTGTAATTTACTTTTCGTACCTTCCAGCTATTTCCTTAGAAAAAGTCCTTTGCAACTCCATTAGAACTTTGATCTGAAACAACCAGAATCATCTGGAATAATATTAACATGATTCCCAAGGTTTTCTGGTTGGATAATTTATGCTATAGTTTTTCCACCAGCAGGAAAACACAATTACTAAGTGTAAACAAAGGCTTAATACACCAACAGTCCAAGTTACTGTACAAGGGGCTATAGGGAATGAGCAGGAGTGTGTTTAAAAGAAATTACATCAGCTATGCCCCAAACCCTCCCACTACCAAATTAGAAAAAAACTGAACAGAACCAAACCCCAAATACCTATCTATGGAGACTGGTAGCCAAGACGCACAGGTACACAGGTCTCAGGCTTTCCAGCTTCGGTTGCCAGTGTAACAATCCAGCAACTAAACGAATAATCCACCCTGGCAGCGGCGCAGACAGACCATCACTGTGTAACAGGCAGCCTGACTGTAATTAACAGGAGCTGTGGCAACACACCCCAGCACCAGCACACCCATGTGCCCACCAGCCAAGCAGTGTCCTTTCCCAATAACTTAAAAGCCCTTATGCCAAGATTTAATTGGAGAAAAGAAAAAACACCCAACAAGCTGTATCGCACAGGGCAGCCAAACCTCTGCAGAGGTTCCTAAAGCCTCTACAGTTTCTCAGAAGCTTGTCCAGTCCCTCTGTAAAAATAAAGGAGATTAAAGAAAGAAAAATTCCAGACAAACAAAAAAGAGCGGGGCATGAGCGAACATGGCAGCCAAGGCCAATGACACTGTATTACCGGAACATCTACACTAGAGAACTGTGCCCGTGCTCCTGCTGCAGTAGTATGAGACTTGTAATAGTTCATGCTGCATGATTTTTGTTTACTTTAGCATGTTTTAAACCCCAATCCCTGTTTTTCACTACCACAAATGACATAATTACATAATTCCAATATATTTACAAAATATTAAAAAGTCTGTTAATCTTCTACATATTAACCTCATTCTGCCACTTTACACATGCACTAATTCGGGGAAAAAAAATTAAAAGAAATCAACAGGCTGAAATGAGCAGCTTTACCCTTTGCCAACAAGCAATCTTTGCATCTTTTAGAAAAAGGAACGAAGCCAAGTTTGTTTCACTGAGCAAAAAAAGACAGTTCAGAAATTCATGTGCAATGGCTACAGACCTGTAGAGTCACTTAGCTGAGATGACATGAAGAAAAAAGTGCAAGGTGGTTCCTCACATAGCGTAAAAAAAAAAAATAAAAAAATCCAGTCACTGAGGCATGGCTGAAGGAGAAGAGGTGCTAACTACAATTCTAAAATCAGCATCAGGAACTAGCTGACGTAACACAAACACAGGGATGTGTGGGGGTTGAATCTACTGGCCAGAATGATTTTTTTTTTCCTCTTTTTTTTTTTTTTTTAAACACCATGAATCCTTGGTAACAATGGAGTGTGTTACAGTGGAGTCTTCTAGAGCGGAAACAAAGACAAAGGGAACAGCTAGAATCAATAACTGAGGGTAGAGTCATCCCATTCCAGCTGTTGCTGTCTATTAACATTCTGTTGGTCCTCCTCCTGCTCTCCCTCCTCCTCCTCACTGCTTTCTGACTCTGCGCTAGTGATGTCGTCTTCTTCTCCATCTTCACTTTCTTCTTCCTCTTCCTCCTCTTCCTCTTCACTGCTGTGTTGATCCTCATAAGTCTGTTAAGACAGAAATTAGCTGCTGATACTATACTGGCCAAAATTATTTTTATTCTTTCGAATTCAGGCTCAATGCACTATATTGAGAAAGAGCCATTACAGATTCCTTACTGGTTTTAGTAGTAATTTGGCAATGAGAAAGAAAAAAGAAGTGGTGCTCTTTAAAATACCTTTTAACACTCCTATCAATCCTGTCACTCGCTGCAAACTCTACTGGAAACAGATCTTTCAGTAGGGTCACCCAAACAGCATTAAGATTGCACAACTTTCCTATACCCGATTTTCTAAAAGCTCAGATGTCAACCACAGGAGAAGGAAATATCACGAATACAGATGATTCAAGAATAACTTCTTGCACCTTCGGGAAAAAGCAAACCCTGGTTAAGGTAGTGTGCGGCATGATAAACATTGGCCTTGGCCACTGCCCTGTAAAACCCAGTTATGTATCCTGAAGCTACAACCCTTGCAAACCCCAAGCATTTGTCTGCCAAGTGCTGAGCTACCAGGTTTACCTCCATGGGGTTCACAGTGATGGTCAAAGCAGAGTCATCCCAGTCCATCTCGTTTTCCTTCCCAGTGTCCTGGTCACGCATGGTCCGCTGATGGGCAGCTCGGATTCGGAACACTCCCAGAATAATCATAAAAACCAGGAAACTGACACAAACTACAATCACAACAGTGGCTGTACTTGGAACAACTGCAACAAGAAAAGAGAGTTTCTTAGATGATACTGCTAAGGAGTAACTCTTGCACAAGGCTAACAACTAGTCCTCTGTGCCCATCACCTGCCAGAAAGAAATGGCATTTATTATCTGGGGTCGCACAGAGGCAGTTTGTGTGACGCCACTCAAAAATCACTTGGACAGAAAGAACTAAAACTTTGGTGCTTAGCGGTAATTACACCAATCTGAAGGACTGACAGATTCCGTCACACAGGGACTCCTCTCTAAATTGCGCATTTTTCTTCCTCTCACATCCTACACCCATGCCAAATTAGTGTAATTAAAACTGAAGGACAGATACCACAAGGGAATAAGGCTGCACTTCTTTCCTCATGCCATTCACAAGAAATTCTGTCCCAGTTCCTCACCGCCCCTTATCTAGGTCTTAGAGGCCACTCAAGACTAGTAGAGCTCCCATTTTCCTGTGTGCACACACCAACAGCAAAGCTCTCCTGCTGGCAGGAAAAGATGTTGCCTAGATCTGTAGTAATCCAGTCCTTCCTGCTCGAGCAACAGCAGCACAAGACTGAGTAGCTGCTTAGAACGTTAGTCCAAGGCACTGGTTTAAACTCTTGAGAAAAAACCTCTCTGAGGCAAAAAGCCTCTTCAAAAAAATCAGCTGAACTTCAGCGACTGAGAATTCTTACCTGAAAACGGGTGAGGGTTGGCGACGTTGTGACCAGAGAGATCCACAAACGTGTGATGCACAGGGTGAACGAACTGTGGCTGTGCAGCTATGTGATTAGCGTGTTCAACCGGGTTGGCTGTGTGGATAACATTCACCTAGGGAACAAAAAGGAAACGTTAAACTCTAGAACTTCTGAGGAGATAGGAAGAAAAAGAAATAATAATAACTACACATGCTATTTCCCAGAGCAGGCATCCGATACATAACACGCTAATTGCATTCTCTTCATTCTCATCTCTTCTATTAAGAAAATTACAGTCGAAGGGTTATGAGAGAAAGTGTTCCTTCAGGTTTACCCACACTTGGCACAGCTGGCTGTTAGGTACAACTGCAGCCTCCTCACTTGCACAGCGTTATTTTGTGTTTCCTTGCCAAAACAAGCAGAGCTAAATATACCCCTCCTGCAGTGGAACACCGCGCCACAGGGTACCCGACCAGCTGCACACCAGGAAGAGAGCGCCATTACTACAGAACAGGGGAAGCATTTGCTGCTCACCGGCGTGGTTAAGGACCCAACTCAAGCTCCCAAAATTTCCTCAGGAAACAAAACCGCGTTATGTAATACCAAAATGTCTGTTCTGCAACCCGGGAGGCTCCTCAGCCCATCGTAACCACCCAACTAGTGGTAAATACAATTAACTTTGCTGTCATCCTTTTGGTCAGCTTTAAAATGTAGGAATTTGAGCTCACAGCTGAAAGATGCAGAGATGCGTGACAGTTCCTCTCAACACAGATAACTTCACATTCCAACACCAGAAATTTTAATGCCCTTTATGTTTTCTTCTGCTGTACTGCCACATATTTAAGCACACTAACTAATTAACCTGTACTCTGTTGCAGTCAAAATGCCATTTTAGCCTCTCTGTGCTTACATAAGCCCTCCAGATCAGCAACTGAAGCATCACACAAGCAGAAAGTAACACGCTGTCTTTCCAGTTCCACCTTTTTGCCTTCCCACTTCCATCAGCCACACCATCTCCTCTACAACACAAGTTTCACTTCTGTTTAGGCACCCTTATTTAAAGCTGAAATGCAGGATTAAGAACACATTCATATATAAAATACAACCTGAAATGCTTGCATTTACTGATATTTATTTACCAGACAAAAATCTAAATCAATAATTGTTCCAATTACCTATCAGTTGAGGCAACAATTTTCACCCTCCTAGCCACCCAGCCTCTAAAACTTCTCAGAGCGATGGGATCAGCGCACGTACCTCCACTTTGAACTCATTGCTGACATAGCGTCCGTTAAGCTCAGAACAGACTAATTTGAACTTTCTGTCGAAGAGAGAAACAGTGTGCCAGTTTCTGTAGCGTATCAAATGCAAAACTTCTTCATAACTAGCCATAGTATCGACCCCTGTGGAGAGAAATAAGTAAAACAATTACTTTGCAAAAAGACCGGTACAACGTCATACGCTCGACAATTATTATTCCCTTTCTTCAAGTAAGTTTTCTTGGCCAAAAAGATTTGCAGTTAGTAGAAAAAAAGTAACACCACAGACATACACATTTGTGGCTCCATTGAAATTCTGTGGATTAATTTTGTGATAAAATCTTACATCCAGTGTAGGAGCCCTTCTTTCAAATACATGAATGCAGTCTAAATGCAGCAATGAGGCTGGGGAAGGAGAGGCTGAGGGAGCTGGGCTTGTGGAGGAGAGGAGACTCAGAGCTCTTTTCCAGCCTCAGTAATTGTGTGACTCTGTGATGTGTGCTCCTAGGCACTGGATTATCTGTGCAAGGAACATGTCTTTTCTGGGGCAAAGTGGACTTCATTTCCACAGTCCAGAGGTAACTTGGAGACGAGGGAAGAACAGAAAGGAGGTTCTAGAATGAGATATCTTCCAGTAACACAGCTTTCCACAAAAGTGTTTTAACACCTTGGAGCTTGAAATTCTCATCAGAAATGAAGTCTTTGGAGCAAGGTGTTACAAACCATCTCTCTAGCACACTGTTCCCATTCTCTGCGTCTTCACACCATTCCTGTAAAAAAAACAGAAGTAGTGACCCCTACCTGTGATTATCATGCCCAGGTTGGAACTACTCATCTCAATGCCTTTCTGCTGTAACCGTGTCATGTCAATCTCCAGGCTTTCTTGCTCCTGATTTAGTTCCTCTCCTTGCACTGTCACCTCACACGTATCCAGGTTATGCATGATCTCTTCAGATACCAAGGACTCTTGTACTAAAAAGCAGAGAAAAAGCCAGAGAGAGAAGCAGAAACAAAGGTGAAGTTGACAAGAGCCCAGGAGCTATAAAATGTCACGCGCAAACTCAACTCTTCTTCCAGAACAAATATAAAGCTCTGGGCCTTGAAGTATGAAGAGCAAGTATTCACAAAACAGTGACTAAAACCCCCCGAAAACACAAGCGAGGGGTATTTACTCCAAGAGAGAAACACCTTCTTTTCCCGTTAGATTCCGTATTAAAAGAGAAATCCACGCCTCTCTGCAAGAGCAAGATCTTCCAGCGTGACCACTGAACGGGGTGAGGGCAGGCAAGAGTCCTGAGCAGAGGAGGATGTTACCTGTAGGATCTTCATCTCCGTCTCCCTCCGGCTCCACCTCCCGTGTAATGGTGCTTATTATGCGAAGCTCAGGAAAGAGGGCAACACCCTCAGGACTCTCGAACTCTGAAGCAGAGCGGGCAAAATGGTTGATGCCACTAAGGCTGATCTTTGGTTCCTCTGGTTGCAAGACCATGACATATCCCTCCACAGAAGGAATGGCGACGCAGTCCTCTTCATTGAAACACCTGTGAGGTACAGGAGCAGTTTTGCACAGTCAGCAAGGCTATTTGAGAGGGAGGCGCAATTGTGCAGAGTAATTGCTTTATAAATCTTTTAAGAGCTCTGTTTCAGACCCAAGAGTCTTAGATAAATTCATCAACTGCACTGGAAAGTAAGAACTCTCCACCAAGGGAGCAATCTTACAATTAATTTTTATTCCAGTTAACATTTGGCCCCATTTTCTATGCTATGACTAACAGCCAAACTAACACCTTTAGTGATGTGATACTGGAGACATACTCAGAGCATACCCTTGCAACAAGTTCCTGCCTATCTTACACACTCCTTACTACGTTCTCAGGAAGAAAACAGAGCGTTGCCGTAGAAAACATTTGCTGTGCTCGGATGTGCAAGACTCCCTTGTTTATCACAACTGAGACACATGAACATCATTCCACGCTTCCGTATCACGGTGCAGCAACGCATTATTTCAGCACTAGGACGTACTTGACAACGCTGGTGATTTTAAGCCTCCGAATCCCCGGTGTTGGGAACTGGCGGGAATTCAGGTAGGAAATGTGCTGCATGGCCTTATCAACTCTGTCGATATCATCCCCTTCCAAGGTCAGAGTTGACTGACTTGGGTTCATGTGGACCTGAAACAACAGAAAAAAATAATACATGAGAATGCCCAAACAGTAACATGATCTGGTAATTAGAACTGGAAGCTCAGCACTGCTTAGCTGGGTAAATGCTAGGATAATTACACCTGTATTCAAAGCAATAAAGCCACTATTTAGTGGCCTTGTAAGACACACAGTCTAACTTCCTTATTCACTTCCTTAGCCCAGTGGAATATATTTAGTGGTTTGCTCTTTAAGAAAAAAATCCAGGCACTTATCATAGTTGTGAAGATTCTAGTAATACAGAATAGAGACAGCTGATACAAAGGAGAAACTCAGCTGTGTTCATACAACCTTGTTAATAAAACCAGGCATGCCAGTTGGACTCATTCTGTTAAGCTGTTTGTTAAGAATCTCTTATTAGAGAACCTGGGGAAACAGAAAGGCTTACAAATACGGAATTTCTCTTTGAGACTTAAAGAGAACACAGCAACCTTCATTCTTAATCACCACTAAAACACAAGAAAACTTGCTAGTTTTCATATAATTTTAATGGAAAATGTCACAACAGATGGTTTCTTTGGGACAGTCCCACTAACCCTGCCAGCAGAACTCTTCTCTATTATCGGCAAAGCAGTACAGACGCTGCCCTTCGATCCCACACAGCTTTACCTTCACGCCTTTGCCAACGCCATCAGCCATTTGCAAATCCAGTCCCTCTTTGCAGGTGTACAGGCAATCTATCACTTTCTTGTTTTCCAGTTTACCAGAACGAATCATCAAACCTGCCAGGTTGCCTCGGAAAAACTGAGCCATGTGCAGTTCACCACCTTCATAAAAAGGAGGACGGAAAAATCTTTATATGTTTTGATTCTTTTCACTTTTTTTTTTCTTTTCCTTTTGTAAAACAACAAATACGCCCTCTGGTACCACAGAGTATTATGTACATGCGGGTTAGTTTTCATCCATTCTGGGTGTTAACCTTGTGATTATGTTCAAGCATAAAGAAAGAATTAAACAGTTCACCATGCACATGGCCTGCAAGCGTGGCCATCCAGAACTGTGCAACTCCGGCTGCTATTGCCGTAACAAACGTTTCAAAACAAATCACGCGGCCAGCGAGGTGGTGTTCTTAGCAATGAAAGGTGCAACCCGTGAGATCAACTACAAAGCCTTGAATCTTCACGCTGGGCTAACGCCTCCTGCTAGTCGCTCTCTACAAAGCAGGCAATGCTCACCAGGGTGGAGGGTGGCAGCATCCTTCCTCTCAGTGCTAGTTACCTACACCTAAACTTAGCTACCTACATGTAAACTCAGTTACCGACACCTAAACGTAGTTACCGACACCTAAACTTAGTTACCTACACCTAAACTTAGTTGCCGACACCTAACCCGACCAGTACAGACTCTCTTTATACTCGAAGGATAGAAAGAAGCTTCACAAAGTGATTCACCTCGTGTCTAAGAGTTAACTGCCCCCCTCCACAAGCGCCACCTCTCTGTGCGGACTCAAGCAAGTGGTTTAAACTCAGGTAACTCATCTTTACAAAACTGAATTAAGATCAACGAACTGCAGCCTGGTAAGGCCCGTGCTGCTTTACATTTTTTGGACGTGACATCACGACGATCACCGAGTCCATCTTGCCACAGAAGAGCACCAGGAAATCTGTATTTCAATGTCATCACTTACTAACCTACCAAGATTCCAACCTATCGAGATTCTACGTGAAAAAAAGCCTTGACGCAACTTGAGAATATTTTCAGTAGTGAATTGTCTTGTTAAAAATGATATAATTTCTAGTACAGATTTGTACAGCTCCAGCTTCTAGCCCCTGGAATGTGTTACCTCTTATCAATTTGAGGAATTCTTAAACTTTACAGAAAGCGTACACTTTAGTTTTAGAAACATACACTAGCTTTTAAGTGTCTCAAGACACAAAATCCACCAGAATATCACTAAAAATTGTTAAGTAAACAAAACCCTGTAGCCAACCTGAAACACCTAGTTGCCAAAGCTTTTATATCCACTGACTAAAGCTAGAACTTTATATCAACTTCTGATCAAAACAATATCCAGTTTAAATTATGTGTATTTGAGCTATATATGAGCAATCTGATCTAAATATGGAACCAGTCTTGTTTGGAGTGGGGAGTGGAGCTACCTGACTTCCAGAGGTCCTTCCCAAACTACTGAATAATTCCATGATACACACACACCTACATACATATATATATACACATGTATTTATATAGGATGAGGTGCATTTTGTTTTAACAAAACCAGATGAAAGGAATTAAAGCTGGTATTTTACATCAGCAACTTATTTTACACCACTTCACTGCAATCACAGTGGTTGCAGATACATACAGGGATGTGCATTTGGGTGCAACCAAAAAAACCCACCAGAACACAAAAATAAAGCAAAAAAAAACCCGCCAAGAAACAGCTGATGAAGCTCTGGAAATAAAAGCACAATGAAGAAACAAGCCTAGGCGAGGATTATGTGAAGGTCAATGGCTCGAGTGCAATGCCTGCATTTCATGCTGTGTGCGAGATGAAGCAATGTCTTGGCTTAAAAATGAAATAAAACAGTAGGGAAAAAACTCCAGCAACCTGCAGAGGTCTCAGGCACAGTTTCATTGTCATTTTCATTTCCTGTATATTCTGTAGAAAAGCAAGACAAAGAATAGACAATAGGGAAAAGGCCCAAGTAGTTATTATTTGGCAAACTCTCTTAGCACAGCAAACACACAGCAGCACCTCCCCCAGCCAGGCTGCTCACACACGATCCAGCCTCTCGCGGATTATGAGTTTTGTGAGACACTAACGGCTGCAACACAGGGAAGAAGCATCCCTGTGTTGTTACAAGAACACAACATTCATGACAAGACAACCTAAGAGCTGCAGTAAAAACAGTCACGCCAGAGAACGCTTGAACCGCAGATCCTCGATCTCACACAAACCCCTGTGAATAACGAGACAAGTCTATCGACTCGCTTGGCTGCCACAGGGGAAATTCAGGTGAGATCCAGCCTGTATCAGCAAATCACCAAAAGGTATTAAATGCTGATCAAAAGGAGACATTAACCAACACAGATTTTTTTATTATAATAATAGGATCGTATGTACGAAGCAGTCAAAATGCCGGATGGACGTGCTGGGGGCAGGGGAAGCACCAGAAATGAAAAACTCGTTTTAATCTTCCAAAAGAAATGTTAAAAGAACTTTTTCAAAAGCAAAAATATCTCTCTCTGCTTAGAGGTGAGCTGTATATATAACTTGGAGCAGCCCGATTTATTTTAACATCTTGGTAAGAAAAAAAGGAAGGCCTTAAGCACTAATTTCACTCCTTTGGCATACTTTTTCTCTCTGTGTTCTAATTCCCTAAAAATCAGGGTTTTGGTGAAATTTTTAAAAGGTAGAGCCTCAAGTTCTTATACTTCAGCCTTTTAATGCTCCTGTTTGGGTCTGCTGCCATTAAAAAGAAAGCTCCTATCAGAATAAATTAAAGAATCATATAACAGTGCCAATATGAAAGCACGGGAGCTCTTAAACTAAATGTTTTGTCAGGATGCAGAACATACACAGAAGCCACTACACAACCCATACACTGAGCTGGAACAGCTTCCAGGCTCTGGTTTCTTGTAAACCAGCCACTACAGCTTCCCTTTGGGCTAGAAGAGACAGTTGGAGAGTCACAAACTGAATGAGATGAATTATGGAAAAAACAATCGACTCCAAGGAAGGGGCAACAGAACGAATTTGGCACTGAAATAACGTCAATACCGAAGGACAGTGAACTCATCCCAAAATGGTAAATTTGATGGAGAGGGAGTTTGGTAATTTAACCTGCATTTAGACTTAAAACTCAAAGAGAAAAGAGACACTGTAAGAGACAAGACTGTTAATTTGATGAACATGTCTCAAAGCTTTCCATCTGTCATTCATTCACAAGCTACCTCTAAGCACCACTGCACACTGCGAGGACAGTCGATATTCTGAACAAAATAAAACATGAACGATTTACCACTGTGCTAGGACTGGCCAAAAAGATCACCTTTATACCAGCTAGGGGGTAATTTAACCAGCCAGCAAACGCTTCACAACTATGAGGCAAGAGCTCTGTTACAAAGATCTCTGGTCATCAGCCTCCATGTTCAGATGCATTCCTCTTTTCCTCAAGAGTAGGTTTCACAACTATTAAAGCGCATAAATCAGCATTTTACAGGTTGCAGAACATCGTGTTTCAAGCCATACTCCACACACAATGACGCAGATGCTCTCTGTGTTTATTTTTATAAGCAGAAATGTTAAAATATCCAAGAGACAGCATCACTGCGTTGCTTAGCTGAACTCTCTGCTGGTCATGCTTCCACTTCTGAGAACACTTCTACAATACGCTTTCCAACCTGCTTGAAATCAAGTGTTCTGCTTAGTAATCCAAAGTGTATGCTGTACTGTTACAACTGTTTTATTAAAAATAAGCTAGCTATATTCCCGTGGTTACTAAAAAAATCACTTTGATGGAATGCTGCTTGGTGAGCAGCTTCGTATTTCATACGCACCTGTGGCCAGTAAGCAAAAAAACACCCACGGAAAAAATGACTAAAAGAGGAAATAGGTGATACCAGCTAGAAGCAAAAAATAATCTGTGAAAGACAAAACGAGTTATCTTTCACGCACTAAAAAGATCTGCCATGTACTCCCAAGGCTAATCACAAAGATTTCATTTTTTAAAGCAAAGTTAATTAAAACAACAACTGTACACAGCTACCTTGCCAACACGCTCCAACCACGAGCTGCGTTTCTATCTTGGAAGGATGAAGTGGGTAATCTTCAGTCACTGGAAAAGGATCATACGAAACACCATCCACATAGAGAGTCACCACAGGAAATTCGACATTGAGGACATAATGATGCCACTCCTTGTCACATACCTGAGTAAAGAAAGTTTTAAAATGTCAGCGTTTTTTAATTCCGGTTGAATAATGGATCTGATGTAGATTTTGCACATACATACACGCAGACGTATAAGCCTACACAGACACACTTTGTGTTTCACACGCATGCAATGCACGTGAAAAAAACAAACCAACTGCCAAACATTTATAAATAGCTTCTTTTCTTCTATTGCCAATATAGGAAGCTGCATGTTATTTCCGTTCCTTTAATTTTTTATAGTATCTAAAAAAAGCACATTTCAATTTAAAGATACCTATCTACATGCAAGCAACATTCTGAAATACTGTTATAATCCAGCATTACTTGACTTGCTGAGAAGGGCTGCTCAGAGAAAAACACAAGCATTTTGAAGAGAAAAAAAGCCTCCCAAACCAGAATTATTTATAGTGAAAGCCGATTAGTTTTTGGGAAGTAATAATCTTCCCATGAAGATACACGAAGATGCAAAGGTGCAGTTGAGGCTCTCTCTGACACTTCATGCCATAAAAAAAGAATTGTTGGGTTCAGGAGTCTGGAGTTGCAAGAACTATTTATTAATAATTATACTATCGGGGAGCTGAGTCTGCAGAGGTTTTCACTACATTCTAACACCTTACCAACTGTCCTTCCAACTTACTTGATTTAGTTTCCAGTGAAATTCAGCAGGTTTGTACGTTTTTCCCTCTGAAGGATCTTGGCGGAAGAGGAAAACAAGTCGGCAGTTGTGTACGTAGAGTGTGTAGTGGTGCCGGTTCATATCTGCACAAGAGTTTTTAATTCACATTATTTCCTGCAAGCCTTAAGGACTGCACAAAATTCACCTGTTCCGTAATTTCACACAGAAATCCCCAAGTAACTGATAGGGAGACACAAATGTAGAAGTAAAACAGGCATGCTAAAAGGAACGTGAAACTTTTGTAACAGTAGTTAGGGCAAACACTCTTGAAGAACCCCCGAGTAACACACTGTGCAATAAACAGAAATGTCTATCTCCAAATTCCATCCAAACCAAGGCAAAGGACCGAAGACTCACAGAGACAAACCTGTCAGGAGGCAAAAGAGCTCCACTGCAAACAGAAGAGCTGTTTTGTAACAAATGAGTGGCTTCTACCACATGTAATTCCTGTTTTGGATGGCAGGTGGGTGTGCTTTCCGTAGGGAAAAGTACACCGCAGCTCGGAAGGATTTATCATTCAAAGTAAGGGTGGGACACGAGAGAAACAGGTAAGAGTAAGGAAAAGGAACATTTTTAGCTACATCGTCCATTCCCTAACATGGATGAATCAAGAAAGGAGGGAATGAAAAAATAAAAAAATCATGTCAATCTTTCAGCCTGACAGCACCGTATCTGTGCTGTTGCAGAGCACTATATTCAAAATTCCCTCTCCCCAACAAACCCAGTTCCAGTCTTTCAATACTGCATAAGATACCATTGAAATAAAGGTAGGTGAAACTGATACTCCCAGAAACTACCTGTAGCAAAAATTACATGGTTAGGTCACCCCAAGTAACAGAAAGGGAAAACTTGTTTTGAAGGTCCACTTCTCATGTACTTTAAAAACAGGAAAAAGTATAGTTAAATTTGTCTTTTTTTTCTCCAGTTCACTTCCATGAATCCAAAGGTTTGGATTAACAGGAAGGAGTAAAGGTAGGCAAGAGAGAAGAATATCTGTACCTGCTTCTGAATGACAATTTTTCTCCTGTTCACATAAATGCTTTTAGGATATTACAAATACTGTTAAGTCTCTCTTATTTTCAAATAAAATTTACAATATATTCAGTGTGGTTTCCTTTGAAAAACCTAGCAGCAGTTTAAATGAAGCGTCTTACTAATACACTGAACAAATCCACTGCTCCAGCTAACAAAGACAAGGATTCTTTTACTTCCACTAGACAGTAATTCTGGAAACAGCATTATCAGATTTCCTTCTTATTAACAGCATCTTCAATCAATTGTAGCATTCACAGAGAGCGAAATTTTGCAGAGCGAAAAAAACCCTGATCACTGGAGAAAGAGAAAATATTTTCTCCTAGAAAAAAAACCCCGATACAGTAGCAAATGCTGTCACTAAACCTGATACACGTATCCTGATGATTTTAGGCAGCGTCACGACTAAGGCTATATTTGGGGATGCAAAACTGAGTCTGCATTGCCAGAATAAATCATCTGCCACGGCAAAAAGAAATGCATAATGTAAATCGAAACAGAATTAGAAAAGCAAGTCTGCATAATTTGAAGCTAGATAATCTCAGGCCATGCCTACAGGTAAACACAATAAAGAGCAACTTTTACAGTTCATTTTGCTTCCAAGAAAAGCCTAACCTAGAGAAAAAAATGCTCTCACATACACCGTCACAGCATATAAAAGCAACCAAACAAAATCCAACCACGAGACTGTTTGCGTATCGACAAACCTGTCTTGTCTGAGTTGCACAGAATTGTCTCCTTCTCTTTGGTCCCGGGCCCATGCCTCATCCACACCGAAATCGTGAAGGGTTCCTTGAGATTGACTGTGACAACGCCATCTGGAATCTTCACAGCTTGTGTGCCATTAAACTCAAAGACTTGGTCGCTGTCATGCCCGTTATCAGTAGGAAGTCCCATTGTCCAGTTAGCGGCACTGCTTGGAGGGGGAAGCAGCTCAGCCGTGCCAGAAGCAGCACCTGCAAGGAAAACACTCAAATCACAAAACGTATGAAATAAAAGGATCACGAGTTCCAAACCAAACTAATTTTCAATGATCACTAATTTTTCAGCACCAACTGTCGGGATTATGCGCTACCATCACACATCAAGCAACTGTTTTAAATAATGTGGCACTAGCAATAGACACGCCTAGTATCATGACGTCTTCCATAAATTTAACTTCTGGGTACACAACTAATCTCATGGAAATTGTTTTGCTTACTATCTCTCCAGGTGTAGAACCTCATTTTGCCTCCATCTCAGGAACCATTACGTTAATACCACTTCTCCCTCAGGCCCGTGACGCCTTCTTCTTGACACTGTACCAGTTATAAGACTAATCCCCACCCAGTTGAAGAGGGCTGCATAAGCACCCCTCTAATATAACATCGCTCCTTTAACGCAACATTCTTTCAGCTCTTCAGTATGAATCACATGTGAGAGAAATTATTAGTCTATATAAGCCAGTGGAAAGGCAGAAGCAAGAGATTCTTCACTGCATTTGCGAATTACTTGAAAGGGCACCTTCACCAATGTCAAGCTTTTACTGCCTACTGGGAAAAAAGCTGGAGGAAACCACAAGCAAACGAAGACCACATGTGCTCATTGACTTTGTGGTCCAACATAACATTCAAAGAAAGACTAATAAGCAAGGGACATCACTAATTTTAACAAAAGCATTCTTACCACAGAGTCTGTGAATGGATTTCTCAGAGTAGGTGTCTCTATCGCAGCCTTTACCAATATGGCTGGTTTCTAGCTCAACCGTTGCTTGAATTGAGGTTATCGGCTCATCGCACGTCTCCAAATGCATCCCAGGGAAGAGAGCTAAGGAGCCAGTACCAGGCTCATACTCTATTCTTTTGCTCCAACCTGCATATTTATCCAAAGAAACACCATTGAAAATCTCTCATGTTTAACTGAAGGTACTGGCAAATGCTAAAAGCAGATAGGAAGGAGATCAAACTAACCTTGCCAGCCAGGCTTGCATGTAGGCTTAATGCTAATTTTAACCAACACATCCTCAGCAGCTCTCTTCTTCCCACAGTCATACGCTGTTACTGTCAGTTTATACTGATGTTCTTTACCATAGTTTAACTTTTCTGTGTTTTTTATATAACCTGACACCAAAAAAAGAAGCAACAATCAGACGTCACTCATTTCTTAGGGTCACTGCTGCATTAAATGCACCCAGGTACCACCTACTTACTTCATACCAAGGCTCTAACAGACCCATCTCTAAATGAATTAGCCCTTCACTATTTGGCTTTTTAAAGCCAGATATCAGGCTCAGATCTTTCAAAATTACATAAACCCAAAGACGAGCATATACACACAACAGCAGGTATACACTTCTCAGGCTCTTAACAACACATTGTATTACTCAAAATGAAAACTCTCCATAGGTGGTAACCGATAGATAAGTTGTTTGGTATGTGCCAGGATTCTCTCTGTTTAAATCTGTACACCCATGAAAAATATCCACGGGTAACATGGATACCCCCCAGACTTCAAACTCAAGCCCACTAAAAACTGTTTTGCTTTGCTTAGTCAGCTTGCTAGGAGCAGTCTAGAGGTTTTGAAGGGTCCACAGATCACTGGCAGGAAGGAAAGGACCTAAACGAATCATTAGACTTCAAAACCAGTAACCATGACACCGTAATCTTTAGAGCCACACACGAGCATCTCAAATATGGAAAGTACACACATGGAGTCTTGTTTTTGAAAGCTAATTAGAAAAGCTATCTTGATACAGAATAGAAAACTACAAGCAAAAAAAAAAAAGCCCACTAAGAGCTGGTTTAAAACCTAATACAGCTAGCTACCATATTTCCTTTATGTTGAAAAGCACTTTACAAGAAACAACACACACCCAACAGACCATCTGCTCCTTGCATCAGTGGAGAGCACAAGTCATTTGCACTGAGAGACATCCCAGTTTTTATTATCTATTCAAACTGCTAAAGTGAACCCGTCCATTTAACGATGCTGTAACCAGGCGGCTAAACCAGGGCTGCTACAGTTTTATGCTGAAGTCTTGTTTTTAGGGTGGCAAACTAGAGCAATTCTCACACCATCTCGCGTCGCATCCTTACCATCTTTGTCTATAGCAAAAGGTACATCCGGAGTTACGATTTCGTAACTGCAAATCTGGCTGAACTGAGGGGAACAATCTGCATCCACTGCTTCCACCTTCAGGATGTTGTCATACCTCTTCCCTTCGATAACTGTTGCCTTGTAGGACTTCTCTTTGAACACAGGAGCATACTCATTAACATCGTTCACCTGAATGTGTACTGTTGCTCTGGAAATAAAGCAGAAAGGTCAGTTTTCTACACATTGAAAAACTCCTGTTCACGCAAGGAATTGGGTAAAACAGCTCCCTCTAACAGACAAGGCTGTCCTTCACAATTTAAGCTCCCGCAAAGAAGTGACCGATGGCTAATAAAATTAACAATCTCAACTGCCCCAACTAGGAAAGGAGTGAATGTTTTTCCAGTATGTTGCTATATAATTCAGTGTAGTTCTAAGTTGTTGCTTATTATTGCCGTTTGTTTGAAAATAAAATTCAAACCGTTGTATTGCAACTACTAAACTGCTGCCATTTCATAGAAATACCAGAAAATACAGCTGTGACAAAACAGGCTTTCGCTTCTGTTAAAACAGCACAGTCCCTCTAGTGCTTTCCTGCTGTCAGAGGATTTGATATAAACACCCAATTTTTATTTCACATTAACAAGAGTGACAGTTAAGACTGGTGTCAGACTAAGAGTTCAGTGAAGTGCACTTGATTAGCTTGCTTTTGCTAATGGAGTGCTGGGTAACCACTGAAAACTGGCTTATTTCTTGGATGTAGGAATGAGAGATCAGCCAATTTTAGTGGAAGAATCACAGAAGCGGAAGATACACTTTAACACATCAGATAACCAGTTAGATAATCCTAAACAGATTGGATCTTGAAGTCTGTCCTTTCATGCTTGTCACTGATTGCTGGTATATACAGAATAGTGAAATAATGCAGCTTCTGTCAATGACCAAGGAGAAAAGGCAAAAAACAAAAAGTACCTGGAATACAAACTTGGAATTAAATCACTACGGTCCTTTCATAAAAGCAAAAGTCTTCTAATGTTTACAGTAAAGTAAACAAAGTCTTTAAGGTTTTATTTTCTTCTATGCGCTAAATAAATGCCACAAAAACAGGTTACTTGTACCAACCACACTTTATATTCCTGACTTTAAGAGCTAAATTCCAGGATGGTTAATGAAAAGCCACAAAAACCCGTAAGTCAGGCAGCCATGGGCCAAGGAAATTTCAAACAGCGGTTTGCAGGTACAGGGCTTAGAAAACCATCAACTGCTGTGGGAAGAGCTACCGGGCAGGCTGCTAGATCTACACTGGCTCATTCCACACCCACGAATTTGGACAACGGTAATTTTCACTAGACTCATCAGAAGAAAGTTTGTATCTCGACCAGCACAGAGAGAAAAATACAGGGAAGTTCTACAGTGCGGAGAAGGAACCGCACGCTATCAGACTGAACAAAGCTGCCATCGTTCTTTTTCAAATCTTTTCTCGAAAGTCAAGTTGAATATCAGAGTTGAAGGGGATACCTATTTTCCCTACATGTAATCCTCAAAGAGGTAACTTTCTGCTGCTGATGTGAAGGACGCAGCCCTACCGTAGCAAGGCTGGATTTGTCACCACCAGGAGTGCTGCTGATCTGCCCCTCATCTTATGTATGCCCCTCTCAGCTTCACACAGGCACGAAGCTTCCACATGCTCTGCAGATGTTTACACCGGGGTGTTAAACAGTTATTCTCAAGTGGATTTTCTAGAGAGTGTTTTACGTTGTGGTTTCTTTCTTTAGATAAAGATTAGCTCAAGATTGCTTTGTTCCCATTCTTTAATCTAGGCAGAGAGGAACTTCATGCTATTGATCTTGCTTTTTTTGATGAGGCTGCCTGTCAATGACAGCAACATGTATTCTTTTCCATTTTGACTTCTTGAACCAGTTTTTTGGGTTTAGAATACAAATTCTGAAAGAATGCCCAGGCTTGGTATCCCAGACAAACTCTTTATGTCACCTCAATCTAGATTTTAACTATACCAAGAGTTTTCCTGCTTCTATCCCCCCATCATTCTCTAATGTAAATTCAGAGACATTAAGGGATAAAGCAGTACAATTGCGTACTCAGTTAAAGTTCATTTCCATTTTGCTGCTATTTATAATACCATCACATGAAAATCTGCCAGTATGAACAGCTGCTTTACATTAAACACACGGGCCATAAATCAGCACGAGCAGGAGCCCACTTGAACCCAAACTTCCCCTCAGCCCACCGCAGATTCACTTACTTGTGGGATTTTTTGGCATTTGCTCCATCTGGTCCCTTTCCGCAGTCGTAGGCCTGGATGGTGAACGTGTAGTCCTTCTGCAGCTCACAGTCAAGCTTTTCTTTGGAGCGTATTATTCCCTCCCCAGTGGATTTATCCACTACCACTGCTTCGAAGGGAACATTTTGCCCGTGAATTTTAAAGCCACAGATCTCACCTACAGATTCCAAGTAAGAGAGGTTAGAACAGGTCAAAATCGCCGCACGTCTTCAAAATAAACGACCAAATATTTTGCAGCCAAGGGTTTGTGAGGGTGTCTGTGGATAAAGCAAGAGCACTGTGCTTTAAAATGGGTGATTTCTGGGAACTTTAGTAAAAAGAAGCATACGTCTGCCTTCCAAGCAACTTGTTTACTTTGCATCCATTCATGCAGGAATACAAAAGAGAAAAAGAGAAATGTAGACAGGCATTTCACAGGAGTACTTGAGACAGCTCTAGGGTAGAGCAGATCTTACGAGAGCATACAGCCAAGGCCACTGGCAATATCTTCTATGCCAAGCTACTGGGAATAGCTGGGCAGCTTGTTTATTTTGACCAGAGCAAAAGGTTAAAATGCACAGTTACAAGTGAAGGGATGAAAAAGCTTCAAGTACAGGTTCAGCACCGTAATTACAGAAATTCTGTCAACAGATCAAAGAACAAAGTCTTCCTGTGCAATGTACCTGGCTAAAATTAGGGAATCAAAATAAACTACTGAATGAGAAAGGTAGAAATACCAACTTCTCAGGCATCCATTTCAACAGCTACCTACTAACACAGACCAAGTATGTCAGCCAAGGAAGCTCTCCCTTTCTAGTTGAACTCTTCATCCTACCCAACTTGCAAGAGAAGTCCCTAGCACATGAGATAAAAGCACACCTACGCCTCCGACCACACTGTGAGACCTCTTGCGGGCACCGCCAGGCCGGTCGGGCAGCACGTTAAGCGGAGTGAGCCGAGCTACCAAAAGCCACTCGCTGAACACCTACACGGTGGTTTTACCTCTTGGTACATTTTGGAGGTGACTTTCTCACACCCAGATAAACCACTATTCTGCTCTTACAGTTGCAGTGCTATCACAGCACCAAGAATGCACTCCTACTGTAACCATGTCTAAAGGCATCGAAGAAAAAAGGTATTTGATGGAGCCTTTCAGCTACGGAAGTACGGCCTGCAGGGAGGGTGTTATAATGCTTCGGCAGTTAAATATTACTTTACAAAGCATATGAAGAAACTTAAGATGTCCCAAAGTAAGCAAGCTATCGGTGAAAACCCCAGAAAATGCGAATTTCCCCCGAATCAACTTCTTCAGTGCCCATGCAACGTGCAGGAATCCCAACTGGTTCAAATGGATGTCTGATTTACAGATATTTCTAACCAAGGGTTTGGTTACATAACAGTTTTTAATCAATATATCTTAAAATAGAAAAAAACTGGGAGCATAAATGGGACAAAAGAGCATGACAGGATCTTCTGTTTAAGTGCTGATTCCCCATTTCATAACCAAAGTTAGTAGGTTAATACTCATAAAAGGGATAGAAAGAACCCTTTATCACCTTCTTTGGTGACTGTCACCTCAAAACTCTCTAAAGGGAGAAAAGATAAACCCAAGTCAGTAACAGGAAAGGCTGAAAAGGAGCAAAATAAGGAAAAGGCAAAGATGCACACATTACACAGAAAAGCTTTGGAAAAATTGTATTTTAAAACTCCAGTGGTGATCTGCTGTAACTGTTGCAATTTTAGAGTTTTAGTTATGTTAAATATGATTTAATCTTTTAACTCCAGGTTGTTATTTGTAGAATACTGAAGTATTTAACAGGCCTTTCGCCTTTTTTTTTATACTGCCAAACACAACTGCTAAACACGATATTTTTGCAATTCCACGTGGATGAAGAACTATCCATAAAGCAGAGTCTATCAGAATTTCTTTATACTATTCTATTTAAAGAAGACGTGTTAAATAATCTAAACAAACTTTTATCTACTATACTGAAACCACCATATTTCTACAACTAAAATCTCCATATTCCCCTTTTAAGTTCCAGGGGAAAAAAAAGGTTTTTTAACAGTCTAGCAGATTGCCTGTTAACTCTCACATATTTTAAACAACCTGCAGTGACACGGCTACTCAAGTCATCATTCCACAGTGCCCTTAAAGATATGAGGCACTATGGTTACAAGGCAATATTTTTCTTAAAAAGGCAAATTTACAGTTTAATATTGAAGTGGAAATATGATTAAAGGAAAATTACCTCAATGTATCACGATTTCTAGTCCTTCACTTTAAAAGGAGCCAGTTTCTGAAACAGCTCACTTCAGGTAGTCCCGAGATTTCTCATCAGCTCTTTATTTGAACGCACCAAGTCTGCTGCCTCTTGCGGCACCCACATCATTTATTTCAGTCTATTCTTACACAGGATATAAATATAATCCCAGATTTTAACGTGTTTTGGCAATAGGATCATTCAAGGGAATTTTACACCGCTGGCACCATCAATTCGCCAGAATTGCCATTCCAGCTGCAGGATTTAAACGTTCCCCATCTCTCCCTCCCGTACGCCCACCTCCCTGCTCCCCTCCACTAACTCCAACCTCGAGAGCCAAGGGTCGTGCGTGAAACACTAAGAAAAACGGCTGAAACCCTATCGCGACAAAACTCCCTCTTAGGTTTGCCGACTGGCTGCGCGACGTCCCGGTTGTACGCTCGCTGAACCAACTCGCTGGACGTGCCAAGATGCCAATTTTTATCCATTTGATGACGCGGAGCCATTCGTCTCGTACACGCATCGCTCCTCCGCGGCCACTGTCCCGGCGAGCAGAGCTCCTGGCCCTCCGCAAACACCGTCTGGACACCACGCCTGGAACGTGAGCCCTGCACAGCCCCGGGGCAGAAAGGCTCGGGGAATTTGGGGTTGGCTTTTTCCTCCCTCCCCACTCCCAAATGAATAGATGCTGCAAGATCGTTTTCAAAGCTCTATGCATATTCATGCTCTAAGACAAAAAATTCCTAACCCCCACAAAAATACTTCTTGCATCCCTTATTAGTAAGGGGAAAAAATAAAGTATTGTGGCTGAGAGACAGTTCTCTCCAGGGGTGGGGGAAGAGGGATTAAAACTCTGTTATATCAAAAAAACATGGAAATATTTATTTCCACAAGGGAAGCACTGCAAACACCTTGTTAGCAAGACCCTGTGTTACAGTCATAAGAGTATTATATTAACAAAACACATTTGGCGATGCCAAGGCATCCACATACAATATTGTTTGCTTCAAATGTGGTAAAAAAACCAGTTCCTTTTTGCACAGGGGGAAAATCAGACACTAACCTGATTTTGGACACAATCAGTCTAACATACAATAGGAAAAGTAGCTGTCCTTTATTTTTTCAGCAAAACCATTCTGGATCGAATTCCAGCATGACTTGATTTGTAAAACGGGAAAGTTTTGCTGAGGAAGAAGAACGGTCGTTGTCTTCTCAAGCAGACCAGTAACAGTCACGGTACAAAAACCTGATTCCAGGGCTGATTCCTGATTCCAGATTCCTCCCTCCGTGTCAGGCAGTACGGCAAGGCAACCTGGCATGGCTATACCCAAACCCTGTTTCCAAAAATGTGTCTTTTCAGATGTAAAGCCACACAAATTAGCCTAGAAATAAATGTCTCTATAAGCCTACTTATTTTTGCACACTTGAATTTTAGGATCCTACCCACAGCACAGAGTGAGCAAAGCAATAAAATATTACTTTTACTTGCCCCACAGTTCATGTACTACAAAGCATTTAAATGAACTGGTTTCAAGATTTTTCGACACGCTCAAACTTGAAACAAAGCAAAAAGCCCTATTTAAAATACTTTAAATCTGCAGACAGTTCACAAGTTTCACAGCTCAGCTAGGGGGCAGAGTTAATTAAAATATCCAACCTTTTGAAGCATGAATAAATTTGATTTTTAAGTAGGAATATACCAGTTAGGGCTGAAACGGCCATTTAATCCTGAAAACGCTTTGTTTTGCTGTGAAAACATGTCACTGATCTAATGGGCTTCTCACACTTAAGCACCCACATACACAACAACAACAACAACGCTATTCTCCCTTGTAGGGCACGACCGCAGCGCCGCCGATAACGCTGATTCAACGCATCTCCCACATTTGGTCTCCTCCAAGAGAGATTCAAGCATTGTTCCATCCAACGGGAGACAAATACTTGCACAGATTCCCACAGCACAATTACCGAAAATTTACGCAATTCAAACGCAACGGAGTCACAGAGGAGAATTCCTTCACAAGGTTAGCATGTTCTACTCAAGATTTTAAGATAACTATTTTACGGTAACTGTTTTCCAGTCATTCTGCTGCTGCTTCAGAACTGTTCATTTTCAAAAGCCAAAATATAGAATGTTTATACAAATGTTTAATAAAACCAACCTCCAATCAGTAAAAATGTTCATTAAACAAAATCAGGTTTACATAGTTAAGATCAACACAACAGAAAAGCACTCTCATTTGAAGAGCTGCTTCGACGTTGGATTTTCCTCTGCAAATTTGACGGTGTATTTGAAGATATTCTGCCAGTACTTTCTTAAAGATTCGTATAATGGTATCTTATCCAAGGAAACTTTGCCCTCCACCAAGAGGTATAAAATTGCCGTTTTGAAAATCCTTTCAATGCTGTCAAACTACTGGTACCTAGATTTAAAGCGCATAAGAACTGTGAGAGATGATTCATGCTGTACACAAGTCAGCCACCCTATATTTCTTTTTACTGCACAGATTTTCTGTTTCCCAACACAAGCTTCTTCATTCGGAAATTTAATATTTTTTTTTGTTCGCAAGCAGCAGTTTATTTCTGGTTAAGATAACTTAAGAGACTCTGCCATATGCATCCAATGCATGAGAAACTTTGATTTTCAGAGGTTCACCACCAATTCTGAACATCCTGAATTTGTAAGGCAACCTTGGAGACGACTACAGCCTTACAAGGCAATAAAGCTCTTACTTTAAGTACCACTTCAAGAAATTGTGACCAAGTTGCCATAATACTGTAGCACACAACGCAGTTCACAAGCTGAAGGTTGCAAACGGCCTCTAATTTCATCAGTCTCTTCTTCTATTGCTTCCTAAAGCAGTGTTCCCAAAAATGGCTAATGTCACATCCTCTAGGTATTTTACTAATGTTCTTCAATCAAATACTTTACTTAACCAAGTAAGCTTCTGTAAATACCTAATTTAATCTTGTGTTATCCACTACAACTAATTTAAATACCTGGAGATGCCCGATGGTATTCTTCAAACACAACTTTCTAACGTTCTGTCAAACCAAGAAAGTACTTTTCACAATACTGCGTCCAATTAATGAGCACAACTTCCAGAAATGTGGAATCCAGAGGACTGAGGAAAAGGTTAGACACTACGCACGCAAAAGAAGACCCAAAACAAAAAAACAAAACGAAACCCAATGAAACAGAAAAAATAACATATGCACGTGGAATCAAAAGAAGCACGGAGTATGTGAAATAGAGTACTCTCTGGTCTGGGTATTTGGATCCAGCAGTATATTTACAGCTGTAAATATGAAATAAAACTCTGGTCCATGCACAAACACTTCCTAGGGTCTAAAAGCTCCAACACATTACGTTACTGTCAGGGAAAACATGCTAAATAACACACAGCGTTTGCATCAAGAAAGATTTCCACTTCTTAAAAAATAATTGCGGATGAATTCCTTACCTGCAAAACGCAGAGGGGCATCTTTGTCCAGGGCTATCAAGGGGGGGTCCAAGAGCACCGTGTTGTCATTTTCTGTAACTATACCATGGTAGGTTGTTTCAATCCACGGCTTATGCTTGTTAACTGAAAGCAAAACAGAAGCACAAAGTCAAAACCTTTGCATTTGACGACTTCTTTAAAAAAATCCTTTAGAATATTGATTTAATTATTTTCCTTTCATTTTTCTAAATCTGAACCAGCATTTTACTAAATCAAAAAAAATTGAGACAAAATCCTGGCTAAGTACGTTCAGAAGAGTTCAGTGTCCCTGTAGGCTTTCAAAAAGTAACTCAGAGAATTTAAATTAGTCTCTTAACTATGCTGGGATTTCAGATGCCCCTGAAGTGCAATTCAAAAACCTTCCAAGAGAGATGGGGAGCCGCTGCCATCCGTGCCAGAAAAATCTATACTCAGCACCACACAAAGAAAGGGCTGGCCAGCATAAAAGACAACGGTTTGTTCAGATTCTACCTCTCTCCAGCTTGGAGAACTCGGGATGCAGTTGGTGAACTGTACTTCAGAACTTTCCAGGTTTAGTATTTTGTCTTGTATGGGGGCTCTATTATCAGGAGAACAAGCGGAAAAGAGATCAAACGTAGCTAATTTCCACACAAGGTCTAAGCACACTTGCTGAGGAAACAAACACGGAGCGCCAGACACTTCTGTCCCAGCACAAGGTCTATACCTAGAACCTTCCATGGCACTTTTACGAGTCATTTGTACGGTGTCGCGGGCAAAGGATCCAAGAGTTCCACTGAATGTGGGGAAATCCTGAAATAAACGCCTGTGCAATCACAGCAATGCACACAGCACAGTCAGAACACGGCCACACCGCTGAGTCCTGCTGCTTCACCTCTCTGAGGAACTACACAGGCAGTCGGCCAGAAGGGGCAGAGACTCAAGGCTCACCTACTCTCCAACCAGCTCAGATGGATTTCGTCACGTCTGTCACATGTGTATCACAGGGAATTTAAAAAATGGTGATAGAGGACACTTAAACAAATGATTAAACCCAGAGGTAGAGAACTCATACAGGAAATCCTAACACCCTCCCAATACGCTTCCACCTGCAATCTCCACCGGTTAGTAGCAACAACTGCTGGGCAGCAGCATGTAGTATCTTCACACATCAGAATGCAGCGAGAGAGAACTCCCAACAAACTATTTTAATGCAAAGAGTGTTTAATTACCACCATGTGGTTCGACTCACTGTGGCAGCACCATCTCTATTGCCTCACGCGCTCCCAAGGGCGTGCTTTCAATACGCAGCACCCCAGCCACCGGGGAAACGCCAGCCCCGTGGTTCCGCTCGCCCCGAGCAGCGCGCTGCCGCAGCAGCCCCCGAGAAGAACGGGGCCTTCCAAAGCCAACCTCGTCCCGCTCCAAGGGACTAACGCGTCGGTCCTCCCTGCCAGGCAAGGCACGGGGAACTGCTCAGGCACGAGTCTCCAGTCGAGCCGCAGCTCTCAATTCAACGCCGGGTCATCCCAGTCTTTGCAAGGACCCGGTATAAACTGTTAGACCAGACTTCTGCAAGTGAAAGAACTCCCCCTCCATTCTAATGCTTCCCAACGTATGTTTTTTTCAAAAGCATCGAGAAACCTTCTCCTAATTTATCAACCTACTACAGCAGGGTAGGGAATTCTATAAAAGCTTGAAGGACTGTAACCACATACGAAGAGAATTACGAGTATGCGAAGCATCTGCAGAGTCTAGCGAACCTTCAAACAACAGGCCCAGTTAAAAGCAAAGTCATGTCCTTTTATTGTGCTGGAGACAATAAAATCATAAAGCTTAAAGCCCTTTGTGTTGAGGAAGGCTAAAACATCACCAGATTTTAAAACATAAAGCTTAAAGCCCTTTGTGTTTATGAAGGCCAAACATCACTGGATTTTAAAGCACCAAACTTAGTGCTGAATATCCAGGAAAGGGCCGTTATCCGTATCTGGGATCTACTGACTCCAGCATAACCACACGCTGGAAGAAATTCTCAAGCCAGCATTTGAAATACGAGGCACACACATTACTGCTTCCCTCGAACCAACTGCGAAATTGAACCAAGCAGTATTCCGGTCTCAGTTTACTGAAATATTATTAAATGTTGGACTGAAAATTACCTCTCCACATTTTTCTCTCTTTAAATGTCAGAAAACTCCCGTAATCTACCAAGTTGTTTGAAGCCAGAATGTTAATTTTGAACCAAAACAGTTGGCCTGTTCCAAGCTTGACACTAACAAAGTGCCCTGAGCTGTTAATCTCTTGCCATTTAACTGGGATAAACTACACTGGTTTCCTTGAAACACAATATTCACACTATTTGTAAGCGCCTCAACTGGAATCTGTTGTAAATCCCAACTAGCATTTAATCTAGTCAAGCAGGGGGAGCTATGCTGGCACAACACAGCAAGCTGACTTCTACTTACGTCTGTAGTGGCCAAAAAAAAAAGAGACAGCTCTGCACCCCTCTTCTCCCAGACAGCAAATTGAATTGTAAAGCTCACGCTGGAGTCTCTGCCGCTGCCGAGCAGTGACGGAACATGCAAGGTGAGCACAAGCCACCCGTCCAACCTGGTTTATCTAAAGATAATTGCTGCAGAGCCTGAAGAGGAAAGGGAACGGGGCCTGATGTGATGTGTGCCTCGAACATAGGTTTTTCAAGCACCGCTCGCTCTCGGTAAACGGGCTCAGTTTCCCGTGAAACCCAGCAGAGCAGCTTTTCCTAACGCTGCCGGAACTGACCTGTGCAGCAAAGCCTGTGCCCTAGAGAGGGGATGCCTCACCGAGAGCAACGGCTGATGCTGCAGAATCCAACCCCCAGATCAACGGGCAGCAACTTTCTCCTGCTGGCTGAAAGACTTAGTGAATGTAAATGAGCCGTACGGCCAGTAGGGAAACTTTAATCAAAAGCTATAACCTTAAGACAATCGGAATTGTTTCAGTTCTCATTATTTGAATGCGGACATATCAAAATTTAATGTACTTATCAAAGTCCTTCCGTTATCTTCTTACATGTGGTCAGGAGTTCATTTGACTTAAACGGGATCTGGCACCTACGTAACTGAAGATTTAGACACACCTCAACCAGAAAGTACTGTAGCTGGAAATATTTCTTCTTCTGCATAACTACTTCTAATACATAGTGTTGTTTAGAGGCACTACGCATCTTTAGAACCAGATCAAGATGATTTCTGTCAAAATAAATTCTGAATTATTAACTGGTAAAAAAAACCTGAATGAACTCAATAAAGAGTACTAGACTTTGAAAGCTAAATGTTCAACCTAGTGACAGTAGATACAACATAAAATATTCATTTTTAAAATCCCTGGAGACTTCATGAAAAATCCAGAGATCACATAAAAAGAGAATTATATTTTCTGTCAATTCAAATGAACTGCACTCAATGTGCTACGTCCTTTACTCCTCTCCCGAAGGTCTGACAAAAATTGATTACTGTACATCTTCTGTCATCCTCTTGATGCAAGAGAATACTAGGATGCCTTTCAGTGAGATGATAAAAAAATCCCCTCTAAAGTACGTCTTACCCTGAATATTCATTATTTAATACTGTTGTGATGACATTTCAAGCATCATCATTAAAAAACCCAAGCTCAGCCAAGGACTAAAGATCTACGCAATGAAATACGTCTTCTCCACCCTGAAAGTAAAGTTTAGTAAGAAAGGGCGTAGCATGGCCTGATTATAACGTGTGCTCTGCTCCTGCCCCAGCCTCAGCAGCCTGCAATTCAGAGCCGTGCCCGGGGAGGATTAACTTTGTACATAAACAACTTGAAATACACCAGAGGCAATGAAAAGGTTAAGTGCATCGGTTCATTTAATTGGGTTTTATCTCACTTAGAGTTTTATCAAAAACCACTGTCCTACACCCAGGTACAAACAACCGGGCAAAAAGTTCTGCTCAGATGCTCAACAACGTGGAACTCTGCTTCTCTCCAGCAGGGGTTTCCAAGAGGAACTCTGATTTCCATTACTGGGATAAGAAGACTGTCGGCAGTCACAGAACACGAGGGGGTGAATCTGCGCTAGGAGGGGGACAGCTCGGGGCACCCACTTACACGAGCCTCTGTGGGTCCCAGCTGAAGGAAAAGCAGGCGGTTGAAATTCGTGTCACAACTTCAGATCTCCGGCCTGGATTCTTTGCCACAGTCAAGGAACGGTCGTGATTTGTGCTTTGGAAGCTCAACTGTCATATATGGGGAGCACAAGGTAAGGTTTATTAATTGTCAGGTGCCTGCAGTTGGAGTTTGTATAATTAACACGAATTCTCCAAACACCACATTCAAACTAACGGCTGCAGGAACTCAACAGGTTTTATTAAATTATATGTTGCCTAGGGAAAAATCTATGGTTTATCACCAATTAGAGTTTCCTGTTCTAGGCTGAACCAGGTGGCTATGTCTGATTTTAGTTGTATGAAGATACATGGAAGTTTTGCTTTAAGCCTGAAATGAAGGTACGTGTAAATGACACATTAGCAACTAGTTGTAATTTTTATTATCCATAGCTGCAACAGAAGAAACGTTCAGGGCACCAAAGACCTTAGACAGAGGATATACTGACCAAATTTCAATTTGGTTTGAAAGCCCTGCAGGGAAAACAGCAAAACAAATACCCTAAAACAGAAGAGTCTAAATGGGATTAAGGCAACAAAGCCTTGATTTTTGAAGTCAAATTTAAAATGTTTCAAACCAAACAGAATGCTGAAATATAAAACACAAGCCTCTAACCATAAACATTCATTTAATAGATGTTCTCTTAAATGTTGCTTTTTGAGCGGAAATCATTTTCTTTCTAACTGCTGTCATATTTATAAACTTCACTCCTTGAAAGGGAATCGTATTTACAAATAGAGCAAACATCATCTCGGCACAGCCCGCACTGCTGGCTCTACCCGCTGACTCCGTTTCAAACCAGGGAAACCAACTGGGAGCGGCGGCAGCAACTTGTTTTCAATCTGAATACAAAGCAAGGGAGATGAGACCTAATTCCACAGACAAAGGACAGACAGTTCCTCAAAGGCGCTGAGGTTTCTAATAATCCTTTCCAGAGGCTCCTAAGGAGGTTTAGTTGCTGCTGCAGCCGACGTGAGTCAATCCGTGCGAATCAAATAGAGTGCAAAACAAGATTTATTTAAGACTGAGGCTTCTGCCTTGCTAAATTCTCCCATGTTTTGAGGTATCGCTTCTGTCTTTGACAATAACAATGATGCTACAGGATGTGTGCCCCGTAATATCACAAGGAAAATTTCATAGACTTCTCTGAATACAAATAAACAGAGAGACAAGGCTCAGAAAAACGGTAAACGTGCTTTTCTTCAGAAAATGTCAATGACTACAGAAGTTCCCACTCCTCTGCAGAACCGTTTCACAGCCATGAGCCAGCACACTATCAGATACTTAATTTTAACGGCAGAAAATACCACTTTACCCAGAATATCAGAACTTTAATCTGAGATGAGATGCTCACATTATGGTGGCCTGTGGCCTGATCTGGGTTTAACTTCAAGCCTGCTAACTTCCATGAGAACCACAATTCCGTGAGCCTAGCTTCTGTCCTTCTCCTTAAAAAAAGCCTCTGCAAGAATCTGAAACTGGTGATTTCAAGTCTACAGAAACATTAAGACCACAAACCAATAATCCATCTACAAGTCGAGAGAAGTTTCTGTTGATAATTTTTCCTGGTGACTTGGCACAAGCAG